ATTTGATGGAAATAGATGTGAAATTAGAATGCTTCTGGGTCCCTCTAGTGGTGTGAAAAGCTAGGTAGTGCTTTCAGGTGATGCACAGAGAATGATTTCTATCCTGGAAGGCCTTAGAAATATGGTTATAATTGGCACGTGAAATGGAATATTTCTTTCAAATATTTACAAGTAGTGGACTCTTTCAGATATGTTGGGTTTGGTGATAGTATCTGCTGTGTAAAAATGATAAATGTGCAGTTGGTCTTAACATGGAAAAACTGTGAGAGGTTACTTCCATGAGATAAGAGATTTCCTTGATTTTTAGGAAAAAAATTCCTCTGGTGGACCTATGCACCTCAAACTTCTGGTTTCACATTCAAGCATAAGAAAGATTCGTTCTCTCAAATACCTTTTTTTTATTATTATTTATTTATTTTTTTTTTTTTTTTTAATTTTTTGTTTTTTTTAGATTCCTTTTTCTGTTAGTGGCAGTGATACTTGAGATTCTCAGTTAAGCTCCTTCTCGTAGTAATAACAAAATTAAATGATTTTTATCATGAATAATTTCCTGTTTACCTTTTGGGCTGTAGCAGGGAAGAAATGGGTGTTTAGTTATGCTGCTGGATAGCCCTGTTTTGACCAGGACCCCATCCAGAGGCTCTGACTCTTTATCTTTAAAGTAAAGGAAAGTTGAAGCTTTTTGCTAGGATTTAAGGCATTTATTAATAAAAAGTTAAACTAAACCATTGTTAAGTTGTCATTCTTCCTTTTGTTGCCTGCCCTTGCAGTATGAAAGATGCAAAAATTCAGGGAATAAATATATCAATATATTATGATTTTGTAAGTGATTGTCACTTGTCTTATTTTGTATTTTTATTTCAGCATGAGAAAAATATTTAATGTCCCTGTGCGATGTGATAAAATTATTTAATTTTTTTTTTTAGGCTTTCATAAAGTACAGCACATTTAGAAGATTGGGAGTGGGCAGAAAGATTAAAATAAGTGTCTTGGAATACAGATGAAATCTGTTGCATGAAGGCAACTCGCATGATTTTATTTTATTGCTGTATATGCATAACATTAGTAAAATAACTGACATTAGTAAACAGAATTATTCCTTTTTTTTCTTAGACATTTTTAGGATACCGGCATCTCACTTAAAATATTTAGAAACAAGAATATAATCATTTTAAGTAAAAAAAAAAAAATAAAATCTTGGGAGTAATAAATACTTTAGGTGATATTCTAACTGAAAATAAGGCACGAAGAGTGAAGAGAGGAAGAATGTCATAGGAGAGATGCTGTTGACTAGGCACATAGGCCTAGTTTGTCATCTGGTTTCTTGCATTGAAGGGACTTGTGAATGCTTTTTGAAATGCCCCATATCCTGACTTTGCTTTCATTCTGTTTCAGTTCTCAGGGCTGTAAATACCGTGTATGTTTGGTTTTGTCATTCTAATTTGTCCTTAAACTGTCCTTAGTTCTTAAGAGCAAATGGTCACTATTGGATTTTAGAAAGGCATTTAGCATGCCGAAAGCTCCAAATGAAATGAAGGGACGATTGGGTTGGGAGGAGGGATGGCTTTGCGGCATGCTTTTTCTTGTGCAAATGTAATGCACTCTTCATTCTTCACCACCTTCTTTCCATTATAAATACATCACTGAACCTTGCTTTGGTAGGGTCTCTGAAATTAGCCTCTGAAATTAGTATCTCGTTTCGTGACTCGAGATAGAAAGGGTAGGTTGACATTCTCATATTAATCATGCATATAAATGAATTTTCTGGTTATACCAGGAGGGAAATGCCAAGTTTCCATCGCACAAGCGTATCATTCAGTTTAGCAGTCCTTCCTGCAGACTTGCCTTTGCTGGTCTGCCAGAACCACAAAGGGGCTGACTTTTGTATCCTTCATAATAATTTATCTGTGAGGAAAAGGAAACTGCAAGCATGGATGCTATCACTGTTCCTGCAGCTGAAGAAGCTATGTGGTTTTTTTACTCTCCCCCAGTTCCCCTTCCCTGAAAGCTAGCTATTTTCTTTTTCAGCCTCCCTTTTACATTAATTACCTGTCAAACCTCCACATCTGACTTGCCTCTTCTGAATTGTCCCGTGGAAAACGTTTAGCTGTTAAAGAGGGGTTGGCGTAGTCCCTCTGAATTAGCTCGTCTGGAACTGCAGAGGGCTGGCAGGGCTCAAAATCTATTTTCTCATTTGGAAGTTTATTCTAATTGTTGCAGATCTAAATGATATGTTCAAGCTGTTATTACCTAACTTGGGTTCTACATGTGGAATGAATAGTAGTTCAAAGGGAAGGGCAAAGCCCTGACCCTGAGGAGGAACAATCCACCAGCATCAGCACAGGCTGGGGGCTGACCAGCAGGGAAGCATCATGGCAGAGAAGGGAGTCCTGGTGCGCACCAAATTTGAACATGAACCAGTGATGTGCCCTTGCTGCAGAGGAAGCACATGGTGTCCTCGGCTACATGAGAGGATTACTGCCAACTGTGGAAGGAGGTGATCCTGCCTCTCCACTCAGCACTGGTGGGGGCACATCTGGAGCGTTGGGTCCAGGCCTGGGCTTCCCAGTACGCAAAGGAGATGTGGATACAGAGGAGAGAGTCTGATGAAGGTCAGGAAGATGATTAAGGGGTTGATTAGGAGGGTCTAAAAAGCTGAGGCTGTTCAGCCTAGAGATGAGAAGGCTTGGGGGGATCTCATCAATTTATATAAATACATGAAAGGAGGGTGCAAAGAGGATGGGGCCAGGTTTTCTTCAGTGGTGCCAAGTGCCAGGACCACAGGCGATGGGCACAAACTGAAACACAGGAGGTTCCCTCTGAACATTAGGAAACACTTTTTCACTGTGAGGATGACCAAGCACTGGCAAAACTTGCCCAGAGAGGTTGTAGAGTCTCCATTCTTGGTGATACTCAAAAGCCACCTGGACATGGTCCTGAGCAGTGTGGTCTGGGTGGCAGAGGAGGTTGACCAGATGATCTCCAGAGGTCATTGCCTGCCTCAGCTGTTCTGTGCTTCTATAAAAGCAGCATTGCTACCAGGAAAGCTGGAATACAGTAGGCTTTTTAGTTTGTTTGAATTGCATCAGCTGGAGCGGTGCTCTTCTTTTTTATGAACACAAATATAGGTGGCGTGCAGGCGTGTTCTGCCAAAGATTAACAGGTGGCGTCAGTGACAGACTTATTCGTAGCATGACAACAAAAACAGGTTTTTGCTAACTATAGATCTGTAAAAGAGTACTTATGATCAAGAAAACTATTTGTACTTCTAGTAGAGTGCTGATTTCTCCTACTTAAATGTTTATTTTATTGAGATTTAGTGAAATTCCTGGATTTTCTATATGACTGTGGACATCTTAGATTATTTTATGACCTAAATATACCCATTTAATATTATTTCCAACCTAATGACTTCTGTTCTGAAATGTGGTTTTTAAGGGACTGGATCAAAACTGAAGGGGTAAAACTTCTTACTTTAAGCCTACTCTGCATTAACAGGAACAGCTGTATTTCTCCCTGCTTCTTTGTTCTGCAGGGTGGCAGTGCTCAGGCTGTAACCTCATGTTAATGGCTGTAGTTAGAAATATTAGTAATGCAGTGTGGCAGAATCTGTTTGCCTTCTATACTCATGGATGTTGCTTTATAAGTAACCTTTATCATATGGAGTACACCTCCTTAGGTAGATATCAATGTTTTCAGAGGAAGTGCCCTTGGCCTGAAGTGTGATGATTCAAAGAAAGATATTTCATGTGAAGTTGTCCGTGTTAGCCCTTTGAAACTGATGGGACCTTCAGTATCTTGATGAAGTGTTTCAGCCATGTCTGAAAGAATGTTCTAGTTTTGTCAATTTAATCTCTATTAGCTGAGACTGATGTGAAATGCTTCTGGATTTGATTTAGACACTCTGTCAGTGCAATTGTAAATCCTGTTCAGAGGTGCTTTATTAGTGTAGATTGGAAATCAGTATATTAATGAGCTAATGTTAAAACTTCAGCAGGGAGAGAATTTATATGGATAAATATTTCTTATGTAGAATTAAACTGCTTACACTGAAAATCACTGAGTTTTTTTGATATTGTTAATAAGACCCCATCTTTCCTGGTGTAATATTTTAGATTGACTTCAAGAACAAAAGTTGTAACTGCTTACTTCACCCATTTCTAATATGCCTTGTTCTTACTGCTGTTGGGGTTAAGTTTGGTGTTACATATTTTAGAATGAAAATACCTGGCCTGTTGCAGAGAAACTAGCTATGTGTAGTTTGACATTCAGGTTTATAAAACACTTCAAGCATATCAAGTGGAATTGAACATAAGCTAGCATCAGTCATTTGAATAAACCAGTAATGAGAGTAAAGCAAAATATTTGCATTAATCTTTGCAAACAGGCTAAACCATTTGCTGGGAAGGCAAATGTAGTACTTGTCTGGCAGAGGAGAGATTCTGAACATGATTGTCTGCAAAAGCATCAAAATCACTTGAATGCGTTCTAGTATGAATTCTAACTTTGCCACTAAAGTTAGAATTCCTGAGCTTCAAAATCTGTGTTAAGTTCTTCGTATGTACTCATAACGTACTCGTAACTCCTGTATCAACACAATTACTGATGTTCTTTTGCTGGTGTAGGTATCTTACGTAATCTGCTAGGGACACTGATTGGATGTGTATACATGAGAGAAGTTCTCCAAAAAGAAGCTTTGTAGTACTCTGTATGTTTTCACACTGAATACAATTTCCATATATTGCTGTCCTTTCAATAATAGAGTTACTTAAATATTCTATAAGTTTCACCTGTGATACAAATACTTCTTTTTCTTCACAGGGTACTTACACAGAAAAGTTTTTCTCTGTATTTACTGTTAATAAAAACACTTGTATTTGTGGCCGAAATGTTTGACACAAAAAAAATTGCATCACCTTTGTTGTACCAAACTTCCTTCAACAGTTGTCTTTTTGGTGAAGGTTTTTTAGAGACAGTATTTATGTTCTTGTTTTTTGTAGCAAATTCTGAAATCGAGGTGTCTGTGTCTGCGAGAAATGTGAGAAGGTTGCTTAGTTTCCAGCGATACCTGAGATCTTCCCGTTTTTTCCGTGGTATCACTGTTCCAAATTCTTCAAACATTTTAGATGACGATTATAATGGACAAGCAAAGGTAGGTTGCTTGATTTTTATTTTTTAAGTATGGTTTTTAAAGTGTATGCTGGTATATAACTATATCTCATGTTAAAAATGCAAGTAAATAAACACTTTAGGCATGTACATTTTTATATATATGTGTATTTTTATTTGTGTGTGTGTATATATTTGTATATATCTTAAAAGTCCAGCCAAAATTCTCTAATGTTTTCTAACAAACTCCTTCAACACCCACAAGTTTACTGGGGTAATCTTAGAGTTTACATGGCTAATGTGCTATTTATTTGTTTATTTATAAATAACTCTAGTGAATGTAGGATAGCTTTTAAGAATTGAAGAATTGAAGAAAGGAAAGTATCTCTGTATTTAAGAAATCTAATGGGGCGATTTGCACAACTTCCCTCTTCCCCCATTTTCATTTTAGTCTAACCTCACTAGTGAATATCTGGAAGAGTGACTACCTACTGCTGAAAACTCAGTAAAATGCAGTAAATGGATTTATCAGAAGATTATTATGCCAAACCAACTTTTTCTTTAGTAGGCAATTCTAGAAAAGTGTGATAGCCACAATATGCCTGTGCTGTAGCAAAGCAGGGAAAGCAGGTATCGGGAAGACTGATAGTACTAGGATAACATCCCAAAGTCTGTGTCATCTTACTGATGCATGTAATGCTTTTTGTTTATCATCTTGACACAGAAAGGGAATATACTTATGATACAGTGAACGTATCCATGTTGACCATGACCAGGCTGCAGTATAGGAAAAATCTGATAACCTGGAGGATGGATTTTAAAAATGTGCATGTAATTGAATAGTAAAAAGATCTTGCTAATGCTCATGTTTCTTCTGGTAGCAGGGTTTTAATGGCTGGTGGAGAAAAGCTAGAACGTGTAATTGGGTTAAAAAACAATCCAATGAGAATAGGAGAAGGCAAGTATCTGTTGTAAAATGTGCTAGACAGGTATTTCTGATAGAGGTAGGGGAGATAAAGATTGTGACTGCTGAACTCTGGTGAGGCCTCAAGTGCTGTTTGCTACTTCTTTCTGGAAGAGCAGTTCATGTGGAGCAGCTGTGAAGAAGTGCTAGTTCAGTGTGGTAGAATGTCAAAAGCCAGTTTCTTGACAAAGAAATGAAGAGCTTGGCTCATATGTTTGGCAAAGCATCTATATATAACTTCTATAAACAACAAAGGAAAGAGGGAAAATTAGATGAATGACTACATAGAGAGTAATGTCCTAGCTCATTGCAAAAATTGAAGTGGAAGAAGTCTGAATACACAGTCATTCTGTCATACTGTTTCTGGTTTTAACCAGTTTTTAAATTGTGTCTTCTAAGAAATTGACTAAAGGATGAAGGGAGAATCTCCAACCCAGTTCTGTCAAGGCACTTCTCGTGTTTCTTCAGCTTTTTAAACCTGTATTTCAAAGATTTTCAGTTATCAAACATATTTATTCTTTCAATACTGCTTTTTGCATGTAGAAATTATAAGACCTGCATCTGTCTCTGAAATCTTAAATACTCATCTGGGTTACAGGAAGATAGGCGTATACTGAGGAAAAAAAATGACAGCCTTTGTGTTTTCTTTCAGTGTATGCTGGAGAAGGTTGGAAATTGGAATTTTGATATATTTCTTTTTGATAGGCTGACAAATGGTGAGTTTATTTTTGCCATTTCATTTGTGGTTTATCTTTTAGCATACCTGTATTGCTGTTACATTGCAGTATGTGATTGCTTGTTCACTTAAAAGCACAAATTTCTTCAGGCAGTACTTTTTGATTTAATAGTCTTTAATAATCTAAGTCCTAGTTCGCCTGATCGCTTTGTTAAAATACTGTTACTGTCAGCACTGGTAATAATGACTAATTTGTAGAAGAGGCTCTTCTTGTACTTTGTAGGTTGCTGTTCTCTGATAGTGATTTGATATGAAGTAACAAATAATCTTGCTAACTTACTTGTTTTGTTTAATTATGGGTTGCTGGTAATTTATATGGTTGTGTTCAAAAGGTCATTTTATTGAGCAAGCATTCTGATAAATGTAATGTTAGAATAGTTTTATTACTTTTTAGTGCAATAAGAATGCATGTTGGTTTGAATGCATTGTAATTATGATGTTTAATAAAATACCTAGAGAATAAGGAACTGAGGAAACAAGTTGCTGTACTCATAGCTTACACAAAATACAAAAAGGAAGAGAATATCATGTTTAGTTCTGTGCACCTGTTACAAAGAGTGATAGGAACTACAGAAGTTGTTAAAAAAGTCAAATGAAGTATTAAGTTATGGCCAGTTAGAAAAGAGATCTGTAAATATGTTGGAAAGGAAAAGGGAGGACTGCCGCATTGTGTAGGGTGAAGTTTTGTATTATAATCGCAGCAATGGAAGCTGAATTTTGAGTAGAATGGAAGGAGATGAGTGAGTCCACATCATGGTGACATCTGTGCCAATGTGGAAGGAGAACGGAGGGTAGCTCATGGAGGTTTTACACCAGTCAAATGGAGTTGGTAGCAGAGATGCAGTTAAAGTGTTTAAAGTTGGCAGACAGAGAAGTGAAGTTCAGAAAGGAAAATGTGGTGCCAGAAGATAATTCTCTCCTGTTTTGTTGAAGGGGTGCTTGGCTTAAGGTAATGTAAAAGTAGTATCCTTGCAGCTTGATTTAAATGGATATGAAAATTAATAAAAATAATGGAAACAGGATTTTTTTTTTTAAATAGAATGTTTATAGAGGTAATGAAGTTTAGACTAGATAACTGAATGAGCAAAAGCTATGAGTGCAAGTTAACTTGTTTGTAAGCATAACTTATTTTGAATTACTTTATCAGATAGGAGTAATCTGAAACCATCCTTCTTATAAGAGGCCTTCTCTACTTTTTAAATATGCTTTTTTCAAATACATTTTAGATACAACTAGTACAGCTTCTGTAGTGGAAGCCTTCCTGTACCATCCGGTTTGCATCCTAATTCAGTCATTTTAGGAGGACATTTTGAACAGGCAGTCTTGTTCTTGAAAGTTTATAAGAGGAGAATGCTGTATATAAAACTGCTTGATGAGCTGCCCAGGATGAGCCTGTAAGAAACAAATTACTCAGTAAAGGCTGTTTGAAGAATTGCAGATCTTATTCTGAGGAAGTGGCACACACATGCAAGTATATTAAACCTAGTAATAAGTGAGATTCAGCAGATTTTTTTGTCCTTGTGTACCTCACTTTCTGTCTGTGCTAGGTTCTTTAATTCCTGCTAAATGAAAGTTGTCAGTGTACCAGAATTGAGTTATCTGCCACTACATATTGTTTGCAGAGTAAATAATGGGCAAGTTATTTCAAGTAAACATTTGCAGACTATTGCTCTGTCTCTTACAGTTTTACCACTGCAAGTGATTACAATATTATAGCTATGAGTAGGCAAAGTATACTGAAAGCTTGTAATAGTATATATTCCCTACAGAAACTTGAAACTTTTTCTTTGAGTTCTCAGTGAAATAAGCAGTTTAGGTGGTGATGAAAATGAGAGATAGCATATGTATAATGTACACTAATCGATGGTGTTGGTTAGCTTTTTTTTTCATGTGACTATTTTTGCATTAAGTTTTAAGCTCTATGTCTGTCTGTGATATGTTGCATCATGATACTTGTAAAGTTAAATACTGTTGTAACAGGTTTGTATGTTGAAATCTGTTGCTTTTTTAATGTTCAGTAACATTTTCCTCCTATCGGTTGACAGTGGACAATTGGTGAATGCATTATAATTATGCATAAACACTGGTAATCACTAGGGGAGATAGCTAATGGAATCTTACACAGTAAGATTTATATATTTATCATAAATTGGTGTAGAGAAATTTGCTTGTATAATTTTTGTGACCAACTTGTTTGAAATAATAAATTTCTTATGAAAGTCATTGATTTCATGGCTTCCAATGAATTAGTATTTTCATCTTATTTTTAGGAAACAGTCTAGTCAGCTTAACCTTTCATCTGTTTAATCTTCATGGACTAATTGAACACTTCCAGTTAGATACGATGAAACTTCGTAGATTTTTGGGTAAATACAGCTTTTTATTATGATAAATATTGCTGTTTATCCGCATTTTTATATCTTAACTGAAGTGCTGGTTACAGTTTAGCAATAAGGTTTGAAGAGTACTGATGCAGTCCAGGTTGTGCAGTGATTTAAATTGCATTGATCGAGACAATCTCTGAAAGTTTCTGTGAGTATAGAAATCTCCATGTTAAATCCAAGCAAGTATTAACAAGTTTAGTAGTTTTGTAGCAGATGCTGTATTGTATTAAATCTGAAAAACCAGGAATATATGTGATGTTGTGTGACACTTTTTTGGGGGAAGGCTAGATGGCTTCTTTCTTTGTTTTGATTTTAAGTTCTGCTTTAATCTTAATTTCCAAAGTTCATTATATGGTTTCTTAACTGTATTGAACATGCCAGCTTGGCCATATTTAGTAGTGCCAATTTGGTATTATCAATTGTTTGCTCAAACTCTCCTACAAATTAGCACTGTACTGTGGGCATACTTTCTTCATAGAGTGCAAGACAATTTTATTCAAATACTGGGGCCCGTGGCACTGGAGTGCTTCAATGGAAGGAATTGTAAATGTGACACAGAATATTTGAGCTGAGTGGTACTTTCACTTTGCAGCTGAAAAAGCTGTCTTTCTGCATCCCTGTCCCATAGACGCAGATGCTGGTGTGAGACTTCTTTCCTTTGGTTGTTTTGTGACAATACCTTTTATTTTGTGAACTAGGATGCCTTTATTTTATTTTTTTAACTGAACAGAAGAAACAAGTTTCTGGTCCCTTTTAGCAGGCTTTCACAATTTCATAGAAAACAATTTTGTGGTTTTGAAGCTTGTCATTTAACAAGGGAGAAATCACATTTGGAATAATTTTCTCCTCTTTCAAAGAAGGGAATGTTTTGTTTTCATCATTTAGTTCTTTCAGCTGTAAAAAATTTAAGTTGTCTTGCATTTCATGTTGTTTTAAAGTGGACTCAGTTCCTTCCAGTTTCAAAAAGGTAGATCAGCTGACCTTGAGGACTGATATATTGGATGTGAAGAAAACAATGATAGAAATCTGGTCTGGGGCTACTTAAGTTGTAACTGAGCGTGTTTTGTCTTTCTCATCTTGCTTATTTCCTGGTTAGTTGAGATTTAGCAAATGACAGCACTTGAAAGACAGGTTAGGAAAGACTGAATTAGTTAACTGGTTTTCAAAAGATAATGATAGTCTTAACTACATATGACTACCCGAAGTCATAAGTCACTAAAATGAGATTAGACCTGGAAGAAGGCAAAATTTTATTCTAGCATTGAAATTTACCACCTTTTCCTTTTCATAAATGCCCTTTACCAAATATCAGTAAGAAAAAACATTTCTTGGCTCTGTCCTAGCCCATATGTCCAATCAAGCAACCTTTCTTTTAAATACAGCTCCTTAGCATGGTCCCAATTATTTTCTTTTGCCAATTCTTATACCCTAGTCCACAGTAATGTGAAGATCAAATTCCAGAAGACTAGGGCAGTTCAGGTGGTTCATACAAAATTCTTTTTATTTGAGAACTTACTGGAATCTTTTTAAGAAGAGAAATCTGATTTTAGTCCTCAGTAGGATCTCAGTATTTTATTTTTGTGTATATATTTTTATATATATGTACACACATCTATCTCATATGTATATCTGTGTGTGTGTGTGTGTATATATATATATATATATATATGATGTTTGTTTGTTTATATACGTACACACTCTCTGTGATCTCCAAAGGTTACTTGGAGATCTGTCACCTCCTACTGTGTGCTTCCAAGTTCTTATTCTAGACCCAAACCAGGGGGAAGGAAAATATGAAATACCTGGAAGTGTAAAATTCTTGTGCCATTCTAGTTCTGGTGAAGTGTGATCAAAATGCTGTCCTAGGTCTCCTTTATTAAAGTAAATACTTTGGGCAGCTGCACCAGCCTGTGAAGCCACAAAAAAATTGAGGAGTAAGCCAAGGACATCCTCATTCATGCACTGGATGTGAGGAATAGATGAAAGGGAGTTCTAATGCAGGTAAATAGAGCCTGAAGATGTGTATTTTTGTTGTTTTCCATATGAGATGTCAGCTATGTGTTGAGTACTATTGACATTACATAATGGTTACAGTATTTTGACTTCTCATGAACCACAGCTCTTCACAAATACCATGGCAGTAACACTCCAACATTACAGTCACGATTACGTGAAGGGTACTGGCTTGTAAACTGTGTAGGAAAAGAGGTTGTGGGCATGTTTGTTTGAATAGGACTGACAGCTTGTAGTCAGCTGGGAAAATGTTCTTTTGAGGTTTGCTTAAAAGAGCTAATGTGTCATATCAGGCAAAACTTTAGAATATAGTTTGATTGCTGTGCCTCAGATCTCCTCCCCCTCTATATTTCTTAACGTTATACTTCTGTCACTTTATGTACTCAAGTTAATGTTGATGTCCTTTGAAGTGTTCTACCTATGATGTTTAAAGACAGCCAGTAAGATGGAGGAAAGCCAGGAAGAAGTTAAATAGGGAATATTGAATCTAGGAGTGGTTAGTCAGACCATCATCTAAATTATACTCTTTTCCAAATTGTATATAGGCTTAATTTTGCCTGAGTACAAGTATGAGAAGATGGCTAAACTATGTAGAAGTGACTTACCATGACCACTCTCCTAAAAGGGAAAGAAACACACTTCATATGATAGGAAAGCAGTGCCTAATTTCTCTGATCCTGTCTGTTTTCAAGGCATGATGCTTTGGTATATAGTGTCATCTCCATTTTGTATTTCAGGTTGCCTCAACATTCAGGCAGGCTAGATTATCAAAGGGAGCTGGGAAGTTCTCAAAGTAAAAGCATCTCAGATTATATATTGATTTCAAGTTGTTTAATTTTTGCTCTGAGATGACTTTACATGTAGTTGATTTCCTTTTGGAAATAATGTTTCTTCACATAAAAATCTTTTATACCCGTTTTGTGGTTCAACTGACAATTTATTGACTTAGACACTTTTATGTGTACGTAACTTGTGATATTGCATCTTTCTGTGTCTCACCAGGACATATAAAATGGTACATGAAAAAATTGCTATTTTATTTAAATTTGGATATTTGTTATTTTCCTGCAGTTATGGTTCAAGAAGATTATCACAGTCAAAACCCTTACCATAATGCAGTTCATGCTGCTGATGTGACTCAGGCCATGCACTGTTACTTAAAAGAGCCCAAGGTAAGGGAGGATTTTCACTTTGACATCACATGGACATACAGAAATACATGTCTTTATGAGTGTGTGTGCATGTAAATGGATTGTGTGCAAATATGTACATGTATATGCATATATATGTGCATACACACACATTTTTATTATATGTACACATGTGCATATACACACTTTTTATTAAAAGCAACTAAACGTAAGAACCCAACAAAACAACCTTATGAATGCAAAAAGTCAGGGAATTACTCTCTGTGTTGCTGGGGCTGTGGGTTCACACTTAGCAGTATGCTTTTCTTTTTTCCTCTCTTCTGAGCTGGTGTCATCTTTTGTGTTACTTTGTGTTGATCCAGAATAGGGAATTAGATTGCAGTACTCTGCCCCAAGACATTTACATAGAATTGCAGTCTGAGTCAGAGCTGGCAATAATAAACCTGTGTATTTGTCATGTGGCGTGGGGGTTTTTTGGTTAGTGGTTGGTTTTTTTTTTTTTTCCCTCCAGAATCCACCGTTTCCCTTGCTTTGCTCTCTTTGATGTTCGTGAATAGTATGCTTCTGCTAGAGGCACCTTATAGCAAGACATCAGGAGTTCTTGGCCGTTCTTTGTAATACAAGGGCAGTGTGACAGACCTTAAGAAGTTGAGTGTTTGTTTCTTACTATGTGGACTGCTGGCAGTCTGCAGTAAGTGATGTCAGATAATTTCAGGGCTAAATCCAGTCCTGTATGAAATTGAAAACTGTAGTGCTCTCTAGCCAGGTGAGACAAGTTCTCTACCTTGATGCAGCTGGTCACCAATCTGGGATTCTTTTGAATAGCTTAGCTCTTCATTCTGCTTCTGAGGTAAAAGTTCTGTATTCATGGATGTTTTTAAGAGGTTCTTTGCCCGCTCATCCAACTCAGTTTCTCGGTGCTGCTCTTAGCTTAATTGTTGGTGCAGCTGATACACAATGAGGTTTTTTTTTTTTTTATGGCATGCAATTTGGAAGCTCTGAGCACTTTTTTATTTAATACTCGTGATGGAAGTTTTGTAGTTCTTCAGATGCAAGTATAGACTGCATTTTTAGTGACATACAACTACGGGTTCTGTCACACCAAAGTATATTATAAGCACGTGAGTCATGATAGATGGTGAATGCAACAAGGAATATAAACTTCTGTCTTCGCAGGGTGTTTGTTTCATGTCACTTTTGTGCAGGCAAAACTGTCCTCTCTGGTTTAATTACTCAAACTCACAAGCCTCCCAACCAGAAGTAGTAACAGCTATGAGCAGTGAAAATAAGTCCTTGCAGTTTCATGCTGAGTTAATTGACATGAACATACTTCTTGAAAATACTTATTTTTAGCAGATATTCATTTCTGTTCTTTGCCTGATAGATTTTGAAACAATTTTATGTAAGAGTAGAAATCCATTGTGAACAATTAGAAAGTCTTCCAGAGCATTAGTTTCTTTAAAGATGAAAGTTTTTTATAGTTTTTAAAATACAGTCTGTATTTAAAGCAGAATTGACACATACGGACAGACTTGGTAAATGAGATGGAGAGCTAATTTCAAGAATCTGCTGCTTTTACAGGATCTGGTTAGGAATAGTCCTTCATTAGCAGCCAGAAAGCAGAATTTTCTGGGCCAGCATTTTTAAAGACTGAACCTTCCTATTCAGAAAGAAAAGTGCTTAAACCATTGTTGAAATTTTGTAGCTTGGAGGGGGGAAATAACTGTGAAAAGTCGGTGGAATTAGCTTAAGATTCTCTGAGTTTCTATTGGCTGTTACTTACCAAAAAAGGAAGCAAAAATGCAACATCCATGCATT